ATTCTACTTTCTTCTAGCTCTTTCCTTGCTCTTGATTTTATATTTCAACACACCAATGCATATATCAATGATGAAATAGGCACTCAAATATCTCTACATCTATCCCTCCCACATACCCATCTCCGACTCTCTATTATCCAAACTAAAGTCGACATCTCTGTCTCTCTATATTGTGTCGGCTGCATCTTGAGTCTATGCACTTTGAGTCGGAAACAGTCATGTCGCCTTCTTAAAGGGTATGTCACGTTGTTAATTGATTTTAGTTGTTTTCTTCAAGTTTTTTTTATCTTTAGTTTTAATGTTTTATTCCAATTTTATTACTTCTGATTTAAGGATTCCTCATTCCTGTAATTAAGTGTGTTTTCTGATTTAGGATTTTTCAATTTAGGAATTTATGATTTAACCTTTATGAATATAGGGATTAGAGATTTAGGGCTTTCTAATTTATATGAAAATTAATTTAGGGAAGATTGAAAATTTTCAATTTATATGTTTGAAATTTGGTTGACACCATGTTACTTGTTTCGGAAGCTCGGAAAGTTAAAGGTTGCGAGCAAAAATCATTTTTTTTATTGTTTTCGGTATAGGAACAATTGGTATTGTACAAATTAGAAACGAGTTTGAGAGAAATGGAAATGGAGAATGGAGAATATCTAGTCGTTCTATTTTTAGCTCCATTATTGAACTTTTATTCTGTTCATTTTTCAATTTTGTGAGCGTTGAGTGAGTTTAATGTAAAATTCTTGAATTTTGTTGTAGGTCCGTGTTGTTCCCATTAGTATTGAATAATCCTTCCAAAGATCCATGATTAAGGTTCGTAACTAGTATTCATTATTCTTGTATTTATATTATTTAGCCTGCCAAAGTTTGTAGCTTTCAATTATTTTCATTATTCTTAATGTTTGGTTCTTAATTACTCCTTACTAGCTTCCACTTATCATGTTATTCGATTCATGAAAAGCCTCTTAACAAGATTAACGGGAACTTGAATTAGTTACTTCAATTTCTTAAGTGGGATAGACATGAATATGTTGTCATGTTGCTATATGAGTGAATGTATGGTTTTTGGATATACTACAGGTTGATTCGGGGTTGAAAGTTGTTTCCTTCCTTGTTTGATTTTGTAAACTTCGTTTACTTTGTGATTTGATTTAATTATTTATTTGGGGAGGGGGAAATTTTCCTATTTATTATTATTATTTTTTAATATTACTTGTAAGTTATCTTTACATTTCAAATACTTGTAGAGCCCAATGTTATGATATTACCTGAGTATTTGTATGTAGTGGAACATTAGTGGATGCCATTGGTTTTGTTATTAAGATTGGCGTAACATGAGCTTTCTTGCTTTGAAACATAAATTTAACTCTGAAATCTAAATGTCAATATCGACAGTTGTATAAGAAACTGTCTCGAGTAACTGTAGTTCTTGACAGTTGCTTGTTGGAATTCTCGATAGTTCAGTAACAATGGTTTAGCTTATCATGATTCATTTATTATGTCATAAATACACAATTTTACTTTCTTTCTTTACTAATATTATTGAATATGATAAGAATGTTCCATTATTTCTTTATGCTAGTGTTTTTTATGTTGAAAATAATTATTAAATTATTATTCTCTCATACATGTAATTTCAAGTGGATTGGCTTTAATGTATAGGATTGTTTTGAATTAACATGTAAGACATATCATCTAACATTTTGTATTTCTTCATGTTATTGGTTCTTGCAGATGAATTTTGAATTTATTTTGGCTGAAAACGATTCATTGCACACTCACATATCGTAGTGAAGCAACGTAAAGTAAATCAAGACTGTAGTTGTCAAGTTCGACGTATGAAGAAATTCAAGAAAAAAAAAGTAAAGATTGTGCATCGACGTACTATAAATTACAATGAATTTAATCTATATATGCTGTGTTAATGGTCTAAAACAATTTGTCGGATGTTGTAATTTATGTTAGCACGGAGAGTGCAATAGTTGATGTTTATGACTCGTTTTTTGGATGTCAATGGGCATGGAGGCCCTTTTTGTGTGCTAAAATGACATATAGGGGTTTGCTATTGGATCTTATATGGTTGGTTTGTGTAGAATGTCAACGGTTTGTATTCAATTATGTGATATCATGTATGGACGACATACATTAATTTTTGTAGTTAGATATTCAATTACCGTTGGTGCTAATGTCTTGTAGGTGAATTGAGTCAATGATGTTTATTTGATTTAACAAAACAAATCAAATTTGAAAATGTGGAAATCAAATATCGAGATTTACGTTAGCATCTTGTTCGGTTATCCCCTCAATTGTGTAGTGCATCATCGATTCTTTATGATTGTTTTGCATCAATTTGAAAAACTGTATATCCTAATTTATACTTGAAAACCGACGTACTTTTGTATGTGACCTTGTCAAGATCAAATATGGTGCTATGTAAAGGGCTATGAAATGTTTGGTTGATGCATACATATTACTTGTAAATTGGTACTACTTCATATCTAACTGTAATCCATGAGTATAACAAATTTGAGAATTCAATTTTCAATATTTGGATGATACATACACATTAATTATAAACAGGTACTACTTTATATCTAATTATAATCACTGAGTACAACAATATTAAGAGTTCAACTTTCAATTCTATTTCAGAGCATGAATCATGAATATGAAGCTTCTCCATCAATTGTAACACAAGTTTTGCTATGCTACGGTGATATTACTTGGAACTAAGGGTGAAGTGGCTCCTGCACCACTTTCACTCACCATCTACATGCATGAAATTTCTCTCGTGCGACATAATGAATCTCAGATTATCACTCATACTTGAAAATATAAGATAACAATGATAAGCATTCGACGCAATCATAACATCGGGTTTTATTAGCATGCAATGGCACCTATGAATAAATTATAACAAACAATATCAAACAGGCGAATACGACATCTGTCGAGCTCGACATTTCATCCATTGGATTCGACATAATGTAGTTGACAATTAACTGCTGTATTTTACAAACTGCTGTAAAAAAATACATTCTTCATAATATTAATTGTGTTCATCAAATGACAAAAACTTCACAAATCATTGAACATGTTTTATTAAATAGGGAATGTTCGATAACATTTTATGGGGGACATTATCTTCATTAAAAAACATATACAAATCCAAACATAAATGAATGTTTAATAATTTACGAAATTAAAAATCAAGAATAGCATATTGTCTTTAACAATTGAAAAATACTAAAAAGATAAAAACTTTAAACATTTTGTAAATGCTAACCTCTCAAAATGAAAGGTGAATCCAAGACTAATTTTTTCTTGATATGGGAGTGGGGGAGGGGAAAACAAAGTTGGGATTTTTTGAAAGAGAATCTCGTTTTCACACTCAACCCAAGTAATGAATGAATTTCTTTTGGTTAACAATTCTATAAACTATTATATAATACATATAGTCATGGATTTATATTACACTATTCAAGTGATCACATCATTATATTAAATAGCATTAAATGCTCCCAATGAAGGTATATGCTAGGGTGATTTGACATTTTTTAGCAATATTTGTAAAAGTGACAAGTTTTTGTGCATTTTCAAATTTTGTGACATATATGAAAATATGATTAATCTATGTACACATAGATTAATCAATAAAGGTTGACATAATATGAGTGGAGCACACCTATGTACACACATGGCCCATGAAAATATCCTATTAATAAATTTATAAAACCCAAATAGTAAGTACCATATTCATTTATTTGAATAATTGAATTTTATCACTCTCATTTATGCTATATCCATCCCACAAACACTTCTTGAGGAGGTGCAAGCAAAGCTATGGTCGAATTTGGATGCAATTATGCCTATGTTTGGTGGGGATTAAAATCAGATTTTTAGTAGATTTCGTGGTACCATAAAATGTGTAGTTAAAATAATTGTTAACTTTGACTTGAATTAAAATTTGAATTTTTATTTCAACTAAACAAAAGCTATGTTAGATATTGGATTCTATTTACGGCATAATTGCAGTGGATCAAGAAAGCATTGAAATATATATTTGATGACATATTTTATTTCTTCTATTTATGCTAAATATTTGGAAGATAATTTGTATTGTCAGTTCACCTTTTTTTTTTTTTTTAAATATTGCAGGTAGAATCGAATCGGAATTGAAGGTTCGGGCTCAGGTTCGGGTTCGGTTCGATTCCAATAATTAGGCGGACTCAAATTGACCCATTTACAAAGTACTCGAAGTGCAATGAATGATTTTGATCATTAAAATATTTGAATCGAACTACCCTATGCCCAGGCTTACTACATAGTAATAGTACAGTACATAGAGAGAGATGTACTCAACTTTACTTAAATTAGCACTTGGGACCTAATCTAAGTGTGTTGAAAACTAAAGGTTGAAGAGATGTACTCACCTTTACTAAAATTAGCACTTGGGACCTAATCTAAGTGTGTTGAAAATTAAAGGTTGAAGAGATGTACTCAACTTTACTTAAATTAGCACTTGGGACCTAATCTAAGTGTGTTGAAAATTAAAGGTTAAAGAGTCAAATATCACAAACAATTAATTGAGAATTTACGTACAGCAATTATTAGTCGGTGCCCCAAAGTAACTGAAAAAAATGATGTTTAGACCATAGCATATGGTGAGCGAACAATTAATTTTGAATTAATGGTAACACCTAATCAACGTCTATTTTTTTGTCAGGTAGTAATAAACGAGATTAGGGTTTGAAACCATGTGACGATGATACAAGAAACTAAAGAAGCAAATGAAAGTAAAATAACTTGTAAATTGAATTTCTGAATCCTTTCATTTAATGGCCATACCCATATTTAGAATTACAATTCACTATGAATTCAAAGTCACTTTTTCCATTGAACTCTAGAACAAGAAGAACAATACCTCAACACATTGAGAATTATAGAGAAGGCAGATCGTGACAGATAAACGTTATGTAAATTTATAATCGCGACTAGTTTCACAGTTGAGCTAAGCGGCGAATATCCATGGGATAGGCATCCGATGGCTTCTCGGCACTGTACGATCTTCTTCCGACGATGATATTGGCATGTTCACCGGGATGAAATGCATCCCAAAATAAGTGTTCATCTCTATTTTGACATGGCGTTTGAAATGGGAGACATGTTATTTGCCCATTATTCCTCCCCACACCGCAACATCCTGCATTTGTAACCTTAAAGCCTGCAAAACCAAATCCATACATTTTAATTGAATTATGGTTGACAAGTTTAGGCTATGGTTTCTAAATTATAATCCAACTAGTTTTCGGGCTTGCCTTGAATGGAATCACAACCCGCGTGGGTCAACATATAGCAAATTAAGGCAATGGCCTAAAGTCCATAAATTTAAGAAATTTTCATTTCAAATAGTTTTAGCAACAAAATTTTCAAGTTAGATTTTTATGACAGTAATAATTGAAATTTTATTACAGGTCCTTTGGTAATAATATAATAATTTAAGATTAATAATGGAGTTTTTGTCTGTGATAATTTTAAAAAATTTCTTACCTAATTTACTGAAAAAAAAAATTCTCTTTTGAAATATAATAATAAAAACATAAAAAAATAAAATTATATATTATTTTTTTATTGATAAATAAATAACATTTAAAAAGAATAGTTTTGGGTTATAAAAGTATTTTGAGTTTGTAATAACAAAATCATAAATAATTTAACTAATTTTACTTATCGATGAAACTATCTTCAATAAATAAAGTAATTTCTATTCTGTTGAAAATAAAATAAAATAAATAATTTATTTATCAGAACTATTATAATTAGGAAAATAAACAGATATTTAATCTATCAATTAATAACTTACAAAAATAAAATAAATATTCTCCCACGGTATTGTGCAACTGACATTGTTGGTGATGGTATTACCAACGAGATTATTGTCAAGTAAACCACTCTTGAAAGTGCAACATTGATCGCGAAGGGTATCGTTGTTGGTAATTTGTATAATCGTCAACATAAATTAATTTCTATCATATCGGATTTAGAGTAAGGTAGATCAACGACGAAATTTATATAAAGACAATTGTCTATTAATTATTATTATTTTTTGGCGTTGTTGTTGTTGTATTATTTGGAAAAAAAAAAATCATTCAATAATTTTGCCTAAGTCCTCTAAGTTGATACCAGTGCAAAAAACTTGAATATTACAGTGGGAAAAATACATGCAGAATTGGAATAATTTTCAAAGTTTGAGTAATTACCAAAGGCGGAGGGATTGTCAATTAAATCCTGGAAAATCCCATAGGCGTTTATGTAGATAAATTTTGCATCTGGCGAATTGCTGTTGAAGCTATCAACAAGTGCTTTGAGTTTATTATTGAATATCTGATTTGCAGCGTTAATCCTTTGTACACATGTCGAGCCATCAGCACTGTTCTGTGCCAATGCATTTGGACTGCATCCAATTTGACCCACTCCATTTAAAACAAACTTCCTTGCTCCATAATTGTACAGTGCCTACAGCCACAAACAATTAGAGTCAGTTTTTACTGTAAATATTAACCACTAGGAAGTGGTAAGAAAGATGACTTCCATACCTGTAATTGCTCGGAGTACTGTTGAACGAGAACATCGGCATATTGTTCAGGAGAAAATTGCCTGCCAGTCGAATAGTAGGCAGGCATGAAATAGTTGTTGAGATAATCGTTACTTCCCACGCCAACTGAATATATACACTTGCTAAGATAATTTGCAGCGGAGTCTTCATCCCCTAGTATGTTCACCACTTGTGAAACCGTGTTCTTGTAATTATTTACCTGCCCAGTAAAATCAATCCGGGAGCCCTACAATAATTTTGCGAACAAGATTTAACAAAGCGAAACCTTGCAGATAATATTCTTGAATGTATGTGAAAAAAAGTTTTTAACTTTACCAATTGCTGGCCAGTTTCTGATCTAATTCCTGCAGCTGCAGATGCATAGTTCACTCCCCTGAGAATGTCTTGGCCACTAGCAGCAGCGTAAGGAGGAATGTAACCATCGAATCCCAATAGCTCAGCTGTATATATACATGCACCACCAGAATTTCAGTAGTAGTTTTAAGTTGTTTATGTTAATTAAAATAAGTTTGTCATATTTCTAATCAGGTGGTTCAATGTGGAGAGCGAGGCCTTACCAATGACATCGACTGTGGTTTTACCATTGGAGAATCTTCCAGTTGGTCCATCGGGAAAATCAATCCCATAAGGTAGATAGTTAGCTCTTGCCAACGATTGGATGTTATTGTTATTACCATTGTCCACCAATGAATCACCAAATATGAAGTAACAAGGAACTTGGGGTTCCGCCATAACCTGCTCATAACAAAGCTCCACCACGGCCAAGGCCACTACACACACGGCCGCCAACCAACTCTGAATCGGCCCACGACCCATTTTTCCAACAATCAAGAGCAAGAGAAAAAAGGCAACAGAATGTTGCAGCAGCAAAAAGTGGAAGAGGAAATAAAGGAAGTAAATGCCTAAAGGCTAAAGGGCTGGTTTTGTGTGTGATGAAATTCATGACGTGTACATATATGTATTTATATATTGAAGTTTTAGGACAAAGAAGAGTGATCCTATCTTTTAGCTGAGGTTTGCTTTATGGATTAAACCATTTGTACATTGTTTTTGTACATGGAGTTTGACATGCATTTGTTAATTCAAAAGTGTTTGGACGGGAAAGTGTGTTTTATTTTCAAACTGGTCAATCATACTGCGACACATGGAAAAGTGTAAAACTTGATGTCAAACTCCATGTTCTTGTAGCATGATTGATGCTGGTTATTGAATTTGAACAAGTCTGGATTTTTGAAAATCATGCTTTTTTGTTTTGTGTCATCAATCTTCCAAGCCTCAAGATACCTTTTTTGTATTTTTGTACCTTCAGTTATTATTTTCTTTCTGTTTGGTTATGCTATCAAATGACAGACGCCAGGTCTCCAATGCAAATGTTCAGATGAAATATATGCCTAATAAGATAACGTTCTTGTTTAAAATCTAAGATATTAGAGATGATATACCTTCATTTATTCAATCTGTTTGGTTTCATCACGCTAAGTGGTGGAGCCACATTGGAGGCAGTAGGTGGCGACAGGAGCGGACGCAGACCTTAAAAGTTAGGGGACACAATCGAACTTGTAAAAATGTTGAGAGAAATTTTATAATCGAAAATTTACATCCAAAAAAAATCATACTCCATGTAATTTTACATTCGAAAATTTAAATAGGATATTACTTTTTCGGATATAAAATTTCGAAAATTTTGGATATCATATTCCACATAAAATTTCCTAATAAAATGATGAAAATTACATTGAGAAATTTGTATCGCAAAAATAATAAATGTTAACGAAATAATTGATTTTTTTTTTAAAATACGACTTAGACGTCTTTTTTAAAACTCACGTTTAACGTATTTTTAACTATTTTCGATATTTGTTTGGACTATTCGATATGCCCATAATGTAGTTGTCGAAATAAGTTTTGAGATGATATAAGCAATTTGTAAATTCGATTAGCGTACGATCGTTGGAGAATTTTTAAAATTAGCATGTTATCGAAATTTAAATTTATTGTGACTTTTCCCCTGTTTGATGGAGATTAAAATCAAAATTTTAGTAAATTTTGATAAAAGTTAAAACAGTTATGAATTTCATGAAATATGTTATTAAAATTAATTATTAACTTTGATTTAGATTAAAATTTAGATTTTAATCCATACCAAACACGATTAAAAAAAAAATCTCAAAACTTGGGGGGCACTCCCCCCCCCAAGACCCCCCTAGGTCCGCCCATGTGTGGCGATTGCCCAGAACATTTTTAAATTTTTCTCAAATATTTCCTCTTAACATTTTTTTCTCCACCCTAGATGATGTCGCCATTGATCGCGCTCCTCAAAATGCATGCCAAAATTATTTTTTCATAAAGACTTGAGATATATATGAACAACTTTTATTAAGTTTTAGTGTCAATACTTTCATAGAATCCGTCATTCGGTCCCATTTAGAAACTTAAAACTAAAGATGACAACTATTTATTTATTTAAATTTTTACATTCAGCAAAAATACATATTTTTGATGTACATATATATTGTTGTGCCTTAGGCTACATGGCAGCCAATTAAACAAAATGTTACGCAAGGTCATCAATCAACTACGCATCACCTCTTCCACATGCTTCTTCCAAGGTGATTAGGTCATGCCTTTAAATGCTTCAATATATTATTGTCATCTGAGGTGATGCACTCGGTCAAGTTGCAAAAAATGATTGATGTTTCGCTCTACAGCGGCAACACCCAATCATATCACAATTTCTCAAGCTACGAAGACCCAAATCTTATAATGACAGTGGATTAATACAATTGAACATGACAAGAGAACCATTAGGATGATGTTATGCGTAAGCCTCCAGTGATTCCTCTTTTACCCACCCCTTCATCATATAGATACTCGATGCTCTCCCATTCTAAGGTAGGTGAAGAATCTATAATCAAGAAATGAAAAGAATAATAAGTGTCATCTCTCATTCAAGGAGAAGGGTAATCTTATTTCCGTCCATTCTGTATCTTCCATGCCTAATATACTTCACCATCTGGCTTGAGCGTCGGAGCCCACACAACCATTACACCTTGTTGGAGCTACGGTTTGTGCATTCTAACATTAGTGTCCACATGTGCAATTAACATATACAAAAGTGGAAGAGGAAGTTGGGTCTCGCTGAACCTCAAGATCAATATATACCCTTAAATTAGTACATGAAAATATGATCATCAATGATCCCTACGTTGATCTCATGCCGTCAGCTCCCAATATTAATTATCCGACCTTAATTACTCCTTCCTTTTTAGTGTAAAAGGTAAAATGTGTAAGTGTGATTTGTATTCGATTACCCATTTGTATTTGTATAGCAAGTCCCCATTTCCTGCAGGTTCTGAGTACCCCGTGAAGAAATGGATCTGCACGTCAATTGCCTTTTGAATGCAGTGAATTTCATTGACTATATAAAGTAGTCAAACTTGAAAATCAACGAGTAATATTAACGGTATATGAAGTACGGAAAGTTGGAAATGAACGAGCAATACTTTCTAGATATATTAAAATATATTTAAAATAAAAAGTTATTTAGATCGAACGAAGTGTGAAGTTCTTACATCATGGTGTGAACTCAAAATCCGCTCAATTTTAGAAAACCGTGTCGTCAAAAATTTCATCGCATAATTTCAACTTTAGTTATTTCTCAATAAAAATCATATATTATGTTACTTCTCGAAGCTGGTCGATGATCGACCTTAACCGTGAGGTTGCCATGGGGCCTGGGGGTTGGAAGGGGACAAGTGGCCTCGCTCTCCCGAATCAAAATTTCATTAAGTATGTTTGAGAATTTGTATTCTTATAAAATTCTATTGAGGAATTAAAGTCCTTGTAAAATTCAATTTTATGATAATTTATCTTATAAATAGGAAAACTTCATTAGGCTTTTTTATTATCATCAAAAAGAAAGGTTAAAGAAGATAGACGTATGATTTTCTCTTGTAAAGCTTCTCTTATCTTAGTGAATTACTGCAGTGACAAGAGATGACGTAGTCTCACATTGAGACGTGTCGTTATAAATCTTACGTATTCTTGAGTGTTTATTTTTCTTTCTTAGAATTAATTGCCATCGGTAGAAAAGAGTTGGGGTTTATAATTCTCAACCTATTACATATTTCCTTTTCCAATTAAAATAAAGTCAAACAAAGTCGAGTCCAAGCAAACAAAATAACATCAACAATGAAGAAGATCCAACTATCAAATCAGATGATTAACCAACTGTAGGCATGTGGATTTCTAGGAATTTAACACTGCAATTTAATGCTTGGTAGCTACAACTACTTTATTTAATGCTCGGACCAACTCAATAATGCCCAGTAACGTGTCGGTGTGCATAGATCAACATTGCACAATGTTGATTTATATGAAAATTCTTCATTCTCTTTACAACCCATTGTGGTAGAAGAAGAACATCTAATGCACCAATTATTGTGCACCATCTTCTTGCCGACAAAATATCTAATGCAAGTTCAAGAAAACAAATTTTTCCTCTTTTTACTATTTTTTTCATTCAATAAACAAGCTACGACAACAAAATCAAACACTGCGTCTAGGGATAAGCAGCGATCTAAAAACTCCCCGCCTAGACATTAATGGATTCACGAAGCAATTCTGAACGATTTTTCTTAAACTCTTACTGANGAAGCAATTCTGAACGATTTTTCTTAAACTCTTACTGAAATGTTGGAAAATTTTTCAGTCTCCTTCAACGTTACAAGGGAGGTTGATACAAGATTTAGGCAAATAAAACCCAGCTGAAATCTATAACCAACTAATTTCTAATCAATCCACATCTGAATCCTGGATTTTCTTGAGAAAGAGGAAAAAGTAGATGGGAAAAAACAAGAAATTTTTTTGTACTTTCTATTAGTTTCCTACCTATCAATATAAAAATGCAATATTTTGATCTCCATTTTTGTAGGGGTGAAGTGGTCAACAAATCCTAACATCTCAAGTCCACGTAAGCCTAGCTCATCTACACTTGGACAAAATGTAAGTCGCACGTGACCTTAAAGAGGCCGCCGCAAGCATTCGGCTATCAAGTCAATCAATGTATAAGTATTTGAGTATGAGACGTGCTAAAAACATAAGCCACTAAGTGTAGAGGGATTGGATCCGGGAGAGTGGGTGGAAAGAATAATGAGAGTAAGTTTATAGTTTGAGTGTATATAATTGTATTACCATCAAATGACACAAAGTGTGAGTTTTTATAGTAGAAAAGATGAATTAATAACTATTGGATGAAGAGAGACATGACCTCATCTCAACGGCCAAGGCACCTTATCATAGATGTCATTCTATCAATTTTAGGATCGGGTGCATTTAATATTTTTGACCATTAGCCACCCTATGGCCAAAGTCTAACATATAATTGGTAGATTAGACAAATTGACTTAGTCGGTTGCTACGGAGAAGTCACATTATTCACGAAAATATATTTCGAATTAAAATCACTGCAAGTGTACAGTTTGTTAACGAGTAATAAATTGGACTTTTTGAGTCTGAGTATCGTCCCACGAAAATTCATTAGTTCAATTCCTATTACCGTTACCTTAACCGAAAAAATAAAAACGAGAGTATTGATTTTAATGAATTTATAACTAAATTAATGATGCGGATGCGATTATAAATGCTTTAACTAAACTAAATGAAATTTATGTTAAATGCAAATTGAAGTTTTTCCAATGTATTATAAATGTACTAGGATCACGAATCCGTATGCAACAATCTTTTTAAACCTAGTTCTACAATTTGACACACGGTTGAAATATTGAAAAATCATTGCTCTCAAATTATTTAATAGT